TGAGTGTATCCTTTGGATTGAAGGGGGTATGAAACCGGGAGGTTTTGCTTTTTGCCCTTGAGTCGGCTACCGGAGTGGGGGTTAAAAAAAAAAGAGGATTTGTGGGACTCTGTAAAGGAAGCGAGCGGAGGGGGTTGAACCTGTGACTTCCAGTCTTGTTCTCAAATTGCCCGCCCGAATTGGCTCAGAAGAATGTTAGTAGTTTCTCTAAGACCCTGTATCTTCCCTAAATTATGTCCCGAATCAGATTCATTTTTTTTCTCCTGTTTTTGGCTCATAGTCCCAATCTCCAGTACCTTCACAAGCTTGTAAATGCATGGATGGTGGGCCCATTGAAACTGTGAAACTAAGTTCCTTCGGTGCCTCGATGGGAATCCGCAGGGAAGTAACGCCTGCTGCTGATTAAACCCAGTACCTTAAGGAGCCTTAAGGAGTCATTAGCATTTAGGCTAATCCTCGTCAACCGGCGATCAAAAACAGAAGGAAAAAAATGAATCCTCGTCAACCGGGGAGGCAAAAAATAATGCGCCTAAGCACGGGGATCGTCTTCGAAGGAAGGTGTGCGTGTTAACGACGTGTGTTTGCGCTGGAATGTCTGGGTATTGTCGATAGTACAAAATTGGTGCCATGCCTACACGGGAGTGTTCTGCCCCTCTCTTCGCTGCTGCTTCTCTCGCACGTGAGAGTTATCGGCCATTCCCCTTGCCAGCTTGCCCAGGATCTCGATTACCTTGTCAGCGACCACTCTCTCGATTTTCTGATCCTTGATCTCTCTCTGTGTGTGTTTGTGTCAACTCCACTCCACTCCACTCCACTCCACTCCTCCTTAAGGTGTCCCTACGATCGAGTAGAATCTTCTGATTCGTCATCATGGATGCCGCCTTCCGTTTCAAAACCATGCTGCACGGAGGAAGGGATTGCGGATGCGCGACCGGAAGTGCAACCGGAGGTGAAGCTTGTCATTAACAACCAGCCCCACTCTATAATAACGATAAATAACTATATATAACTATATATTATATATAAGAGGTTTTGAACAGGGGGAGTTGTAAGGAAGAAGGAAAAAAAAATGAATTTATTTTCCTTTGTTTTCTTTTTGTTTTCCTTTGGCTTCTGCGCTCTGACAACTTTGTGACCAAAAAAAATGTTGTCACACTGTGAATCGGAGCCAAAGGCGGAAAAAGACAAAACAAGAGAAGGAAAAGAAGTACAAGGCCAGCCACGTGGATGACAGGTTGAGCGTTGGCTGCCCCCATCCCCGTGTGTCACAAGGACCCACTTGCACGCAGCCAAAAGGCAAAGAGGTAAAGAAAAGGAGAAGGAAACCAGACCTCACAGAGGCAGAAGAAAGAGAAAAGGATCCAACAATCAAGGAAAAAACTAAGGACACAGAGGCAGAAGAAAGAGAAAAGGATCCAACAATCAAGGAAAAAACTAAGGACACAGAGGCAGAAGAAAGAGAAAAGAATCCGACAATCAAGGAAAAAACTAAGGAAGAGGAAGGCCTATCAGTCAAACACAGCAAATGACACATCCCACAGATAAACCAATAACCACTGTCACAACAAAGTTCAACCTTTTTTTTTTTTTTCCTTGGTTTCTTTTTTTTTTTCTTCAGATTTTTATTTTTTTTTATTTTTTTTTTATTTTTAGAACTCCACATCTGTTGGTAGTATCGAAAGCTTTATGTGTTCTACAATTAGTGTTGCTCCTGACCGACCTGCTTGATTCTATTGACCAGTCAGGAAGAGGAGCCCCCACCTTGGCAGATAGGACAGGCACGCTGAGGATGAAGAAGTGGATGTTCACAAGGATACCCAAGGAGCGCTGCGCCACCACAGCATTCAGCAGGACGACTAGCACGGACCATCCCATCAAAACAGTCCTGACAAAGGACATGCTGTCCACATGTCAAAAAAAACGCAGGACGTTCATCACAGTGCAGCATCATGCAGTCCTGATATATATATATATATATATATATATATATCACAGCCCCTCGTTTCTTGTCCTCTTCTCTCTCTCTGCCTACGGTTTACCGGGGAGTTCTATTTGTGACGATATATACTACGACTTCGCTAGCTTCCTGCTACGGTTTTTTCCGGTCAGGTCGAGCGGCAGTGGTCGGGGCCGTTACTAGGCGGCCATGCTGTGCCTCTAGTGCCAGCGGCGTGT